TTTTCAAATACATTGCCTTAAATCTCTAAGTTCCATCGAAATCAGAACGATCTTATTCTCAACCTCCTCATCTGAACATTAGCCTGGCTCAAGGCATTGGTTGTCTTAGTTCCACATGTTTTAGTGTGATAAACAACAGTAAAATAAGAGTTTATTATATGAAATGTAGTATGTAGTTAATATATCACTTTTAAAAATCCTTAGTTTTTAAAAAACTTTGATAGCTGAATGTTTGTAGCATGTTTCAAAACGTTTGGAAGAGGCTGGCTCTCAGCCTCATTTCCTTTGTGTTGCGAAGGAGTGTGTGTGCGTACGGCTGTTCTGAGATCCAAGGGGCAGTAACTCCTCCCAACCTTCGGGGCACAGTTTCTGACACTGTTCTGCTCTCTGTATAACGTGCATGGTCCTGGGAATACTTTTGATAGTCTGTTGGTGTGCAAGGTGTTTATTCAGTACATAAGATACATAGATTATCTTATATGGCTTGTGAATTATGTCTTTAAAATGGAAATAATCTGGAAATAAGCATGGATATTTCATGCTGTAAGTGTGTAGGCAGCAAGTTAAAAAGAAATCTGAGGTCTCTTCCTCACAAGTCTTCAAAAGGTGTTGAAGAGAAGAAGGAATTAGTGTTTATCAGTAGTATTGAATTTAAGGTGGGTCCACACTCCCACTAGAACTTTGATTTGGATACTTGTTTACATTATGTTACTGTGGTCATTTTACTCTGATCAAAGTTTTGACAAGTTACATAGTACTTTTAACCGGGTTTTCACACATGTAGGAGCCTCAGGAAAAAAACCAAACAAACAAAACAAAACCAAAAAAATCCAAACAACCAAACAAAAGACACCCTAGCCTACTTCTGAACATTCAATAGTCAGGATATAAAATTGACTTTTGATTTGTGTAACATACACTGCTATTGACATCAGGGTGATCCCTGAAGATCAGGAAATGCACATAGAGGGGCGGAATTTGGATATTGTATTAAGATTTGGAATGACCCGCTAGTAGAATCAGTTTACCTTCTTTCATTCTCTCCAGTTAAATAGTGTAAACGACTAATTTAAAATTGAAAACACTTTCTAAATAGCCTGGTAGGTGTGAATGACCTGACTGCTTTGGCTGACCTGAGATTTCTTTAATGACCTGAAGGATGGAATAGGGGTTACTCTTAATAGGATTGTGGATCACACAAAGGGGCTGAGTTTGGCATCTAAACTTAAAGATGAATTCTTCAAAATATCATTTGAAATAATTAGTAGTGGATTAAAAGAGGTCTTTTAAACCATAGTTATGTGGGCTGAAGTCCCAGAATCACAAACTAAGATTTTTTTAAAAGTACTTTAAATACATGATGTCTGTTAGATAATTGTAAGCATATGCTAATAACTTTTTAATGAGTTTAAATTTTTCATCTCTTACTGATCTTTTTCTACAAGAACTTAAATTTAAAAAGACATCCAAGACCAATTTTCAACTGTCGTGGATGCTTAAAGCTTAATTGTGGTTTTTGGAAAACAGACTGCATGCAATTTATAAATGTGGCAGGTGATATTTATGTTAAAATATTTCCAATAAGCATAAAATAAAGTTTTCTAAAATTGCATGTCTTCATGACATTAAAGATACTAATGAGGTAAAAATAGCCAGTTTTGTTATATAATTGGGAAGCTCGTTGCCTTTTCTGCGTATGTTGTGGCATATGTTGATGTCTGCAGAATGAAGGTGTAGAAGATGTGCAGAGTTATGGTGGATTTGAGTGTTAATGACAACAGAACTAACTAGAATTCAAACTAGACTTTGATCTCCTGAACATGTATTTATGCATTTAATCTGAGCAATTCCATCTCCTTAGGTTAAGTTTTACATGTGTAGCCTTCAGGTGGAAGGAAAGCAGGTACTGTGGTGCTTTAATGTATTATTTCACCAGGCCCTTGTGTGTGCCTTTCAGGCTTGTAGCAGCATGATTAAAAATATATCTGTCCTTATATCCAGCTAACCCTGTGTAAAATGTTGTAGGTCTGATCTGTGCAAGATTTTTTATAACCATATTCAGCTTTAAGTGTGCGGTGCTCTAAACATTAGACTTGGGTAAAAAATGACAAATAAAGAGACAATAAAAGTTGGGAAAGACCATTAGCTGACCAAACACGGAGCAGACCTGAAGACATTCTAGTAGCTGCTGAAATCGCTCCATGGAGTTTGCCAGAAGGCCAGCTGCTACTGAGAGAACCTTGCCTGGCTTTACCAGCCCTAGCTTTACGTGGTAATTTCACGAATAAAGAAGAGGAAGAGGAGAGATGCTGGAAGAAGGACACGTGTTGTGATGGTTGCTGCATTAAAATATACAGCAGCAGAGAAAGCGTTAAGGTATTAAGCATGTGTAAAAGCAATGCAGATGTGTAAAATGTAAGGCACTCATCTCACATCATTCCAATTTCACATGGATTTAAAACAGCCTGTGTCCTTTACTAGGTTTGCTTCAGCAAATCAATTCCTTTCATTCCTTGTGTGAGCGTTGAAAGCACGTGCTGGCATTAATAGTTTTATGTGGTAAGTAGCAAGATGAGCTCGCAGGGTGGAGGCGACTCGTGATTGCTTTGCCTTGTGTAGGCAGTGCTAGGGAAGGAGTTGGGAAGAGGGAGAGGAGCTGGAAGTTGCATTCCTTCCAGCCAGGGAGGGGAGAGGGAGACCTCCTCTTGGAGGCAGCTTGTGGGGCCGCTCTGAAATTGCAGTCTTAGCTGAATGCTAATCTTAAATAGCAAAAACTAAGAGAAGAGATGGGAGGGGAAAAAAAATGTATCAACTGATAAAAGAAACCTATGCTCAGAAGGAAGTGAGAAAGCTGAGTTGCTTTAGCTCCTCTCTGCAGTGAACGTTGCCTTTGTGTGAAGCTGAGGGAATATAAAGTGGGCAGGGTGTGCTTGTTTCTTCAAGTGGTAAAGCTGAGGAAGAAAAGTGAGTCTCTTTCTATCTTCCTAGTTCACCCTTCAAATGTAGGATGATACTTGCCATCTTAGGTTGAGCCACAGTCTGTCTAAGTAGTTACCCTGTTGGGGTAAGAGCTTTTAGAAAGCGTTTAGGGAAAACTCTAAGAAAAATGGTGTATTTAGATGGAGCTTTCTCCTTCTCTTCTCTATTAGCAATTTTGGAAAGTGCCTTTTTTTTCCCCATGATATGGTAATGAATTAAAAATCATTACAAAAAGTCATTCACCATCTCTATGAACTATCAGATGCTTTCAAAGCATTTTACTTCATGATTGAGTAACTACGCATACTTTCTTGCCTAAACTGAATAGTCACTTGTTGAGCACTGTATGAGAAATGCTGAAAGACACAGAATATAAATTTCCTGTAACATTAGGAAACCAATTCATTGCATTCTATAAAACAAGTATTAAACATCGGCTCTTCCTGCCATAACCATCACCAGAAGTATTATCACTGGGAGTACAGAAATAAGTTAACTAATCATCAAAACCATAAATGAAGTTAGAATTGCCATGTGAACTTGTTGCATTACTTGGAAAATAATTAAATTGTTTTAAAGTTTGTTAATTTTTAATCTGGAAGACATTACTCTAGACCTAACCTTGTGTTGTTTACGTAACACTAGCAAGAATGTCTTTTGGCAAATCTATTTTCGTGCTTGTGGTTATTCATGATACCCTCTTGGAAATCATTGTAATATTTAATTAAAATGTTAAAATATTTAATTACTGTAAACCACAGGGGATACCAATGTTGTAATTGCATTTAAGATGAGGAAGAAAAGTAATTTGTTTTTTCAAGTCTTGCTGAAGTGATTAGCAGTGGCATCAGCACTTTACCCTTTTTATTGTTTAAAAACTGATTAACTGCAGCATTACTGTAAAATGGGATAATATAAAAAGTTAATAAGCATTTTAATACATCACACTAACACAGTGTGACAGTGCTGAAACACATCTGTAAGTTTGATACGTTACTGCCTTGTTATTTGGAAGGGATATTATTTTCTTGTTCAGCATGGTTGGCTTTTTATTTTTTTGGAGTTTTTATGATGAGCACAGTGTTTTCAGAATATGTACTTGGAAGAATGGCACAAGTGGGAGAATAAGAAATCCAGCATATGTTACAGTAAATTGGTGTAAAATCTAAAGAGGACAAAATGCTTGAAAGCATCCAATATTGGTTTTTATGGGAGTGTTATTAGTTTTAAAAAAAAATAAACTAATTGTGAAAAATACATGACTGACAGCTGAAAACCTAGTTGGGAATGTTGTAAATTGTTTTTTGCTATGGTGTTGTTCTTACGAGAAAATAATTTTTTAAAAAGAAGTTAGTAGGGGAAAGCGACACTCCTCTCTAAGCACTGTGTTATTTCATGGCTCTTACATGAAACTAACACTTTTATAAAAATAGCTGTAATGTTTTAAAAAATATGCCGTAAACTAGTTCATAGCTGTATTATAACCTGTCACATCCAGAGTCGGTCAGAGGAGTAACTGTGCTTTCAGGCTGAGGTGTGCTCGCTTGCCAAGATCACGGCGCTCTGCCGGGCAAGGGCTCTGGTCCCAGAGGTGACGTACCCGAGGGGGTGTCCCTCACGTTCTCCACTTGGTGTGCAGGAGAGAAGGGAGCTGCTAGAGGGTGATGCAGTAACAGTCTTGGGGTGATGGCATTGGGGAACAAGGAGTCTTCTCTTCCTGAGAAGACTGCGTACTTGGTATCCATGGGAGGAGAGCATCCTCCGTGGGGCTGCCGTAGCTGGTACTTACATCCGTGGCCACCATGGAGACAGCAAAAACGGAATGCAGGCTTCCAAAAATGCAAGGCGGGCCATGAGGGGCGCACAAAAGTTTGAGAGGCTGATCCAGCTGGGCTTCCTCTGCTCCTTCCTAGCTGAAAGGTAGAGATGCCTTTCTAGAGGGTGGTTCAGCACATGAGGCTGAAACAGCTTCTTGAGAGAAGTTCCTCTCGCCCTCTTGGTTTTAGAGGGAGTCAAGGCAAATTGGCCTCCCAAGGCTGAGTTTAAGTCTATCTGAACGTCACTCTCGAGCTTCTCAGGTGAAGCAGTGAAGCATTGCTTTCTGCTTGCTTATGGTAAGCAGAGTTTGCCACAGAAATTGTGGCTGGATAAGTAAAGATATTAGTATATACCAAATATATCTGTGGATATTTATGGTTTGGGAAATACGCTGCTAAGCATGAACAGTGTGTTTGAGTTTCCAAATAGCGTGTCTGTAAGGTGCTTCAATGTCTGGAAGTTGCAAAGATCTTCATTTTCTATAAATGCAGGAATTGGTGCTATTTAAAAAAACCCAAACCGATAACACCAAACCAAACAAAAAAATTAAACCAACTGCAAATGAAACCAAAATCACACCAAAAAAAGCCCTGAAAGCCTTCCCTTTTTAACTTATATCTCTTTTATTGCACTGTGGTAAAGTCAATTTGTAAACTCATTTTGACCTTTTTTTGTTTAGTTGTAAAGTGTATTAACTCGTAAATTTCAGCTTAAGCAGAAAAGGAAATTTCAATGGCAAAAGTTCATATTTATTTCCCAGATAGTTTCAGAAACGTGAGAAATCCAGAAAACTATGGGTGTTGCCAGTGAAGTTTTCTGTAAATGCTCTTGTTTCAAAGCTCACAGCTGTGTAATGCTTTCTTCAATATTTTAATATTTAGTAATGGTAGATTTTTGCTGCTACAGTGAATTTACCTAGAGCTTTTTTTTTTTTTCCTTACACCAGAAAGAACTCTGCAATATGATACTTGACTGCTGCGCTCAGCAAAGAACATACGAGAAATTCTTTGGGTTACTGGCAGGGGGGAGTTCTGTTTTCACATTTTACACTTTGTGGCAGATAATTTCATTGGTTTACTCTGTTTTTTTTCTATGTCAAACTTAAATTTTAATGGCTAAATAAAACTAATAGTCTTTTTATCATTCCAAAAGCTATTATATTAGTTGTGTTAGTTTTATTACTGACTGAATTAATGTTTCCATTGTGATAAGCGTAGCGAACGTAGGATGAGAGAACTCATTTTCTTTTCATGTTGTTGCTGGTTTTGCCTTCATGTTTTCTCATTATGGTAGAACAACAGGTCAGTGGCAAAGGAGTGGTACTGAAAAGAGGCAAAACTGTGGTGATTTACCAGAAAATACCCTTTTTACAGTGCTGAAGATTCATTTTGGAGACTCTAGACCTTTACCACTTTTGTTCAAAGCTGCTTAGTAGTCTTTATTCGGAGCGCAAGACTGAATACTTACTGTCCCAGGGTTGTGGATGGCTTGTTTGTTTTTCAGTAAACAGCTAATTCTTTGATTTTGTGTAACTAATTGCTAATTTAGTTGCAGTTATTTCTTAGTTGAGTTTCTCCTAACTATTATGTTGACAGGTCTCACTACTTGAGACTACTTGTCTTCTCAAAGAAGAAAATTACGCTGATAGGGAGTGGGGTTTTTTTGGTTTGTATTTCTTATCCAGTATTTGAGGAAATACTTGTGCTGACAGTCAGTTACGAAGCACCAACCATATGAACCTACACGTTCTCTACAATATAAATTTTAATTGCCATGTCCTTTGGAGTGTTTATCTCCAAAATGTTTTACTTCTGTGTTCCCTGCTGGCTCTCTAATTCTAAATAGTCATTCAATGAAAAAAAGTCATGTCATGAAAAAAAGTTACATTTGATGAAGTTACATCAGGTGAAAGTACTGGATGTATGGAAGTAAAAGAAACTGCATAATTTGCTGTAGTTCAAAGTTGATAATTACAACTTTGCAATGCAGATGAGTTTCTTGTTCTAACAAACTGCTGAAAGCAATAAAATGTATCTATTTGAAGGCATTTTCTTCTCCTCCAAGGGTTATTTAAAAGGAAAATCTTGCAGTAAATATTGACACCATTATGTCACTTACATGTAGGTTATTTGCATGTCTAATATGTTGTTTAGTCTGCTTGTTTAAATTGTACAATGTTGTCTCAGCGTTTCTGCATGTTGAAGAAGGAATATATGGAATCGTTTGAAGCTATTTTCAAAGAGCAGTATGATACCATTCATCGTTTGGAAACGAACAAACTGAGGAATGTTGCCAGGATGTTTGCTCATCTGCTATACACTGATTCAATTCCCTGGAGTGTAAGTAAAAAAAAAAAAAAAAAGCTATTGTCCCAGACTTCTTTTTCAATAATTCATCTCCAATATTGAGAAGGAATATACATTAGTTTTAGTATTTATTCTGCAGGTTGGAACTACTTGTATTTGTACCAAACTGAATTATTTAAATATCTTCTCAGACACTATTGGACAATTTGTATGGCTCTGTTTCCTCTTTCTGCCTCCTGTGTCTCGTCATCCTCCCTCTCCCATTCTTAAATAGTTGATTAGTTGATTTAACGTGAGATTTTTATGGACCTCAGCAGGATTTTATTAAAATGTACTTTTTTTTTAGAATTTTGAACTGGTAATTATCAAGATAAATAGCAGAGCTAGAACTGTCTCTAAAAACAAGCTTAAAGAAACCTTTTAAAATTATTGTGGTGGGTTTTTTTCTTAAAAATCGATAGTACTACCATTTTGTGATTTAAGCACCAAATAAATAAAAGCAATCTTGTGTTTTGATACATTATTATAACATTAATAATGAAAAAATAAAAATCAAAGTCACTTCTCTTTCCGGTACTGTTTTATTCTTGCTTTGCAGCCTAGTTGAGTTGTCATTCTTCACCTCTTTAGAGCTTAAGTCTCAAATCTTTAACTTCCTAGAAGTTTACACACCTAATTAGCTCTTATTGAGCATTCCTGGATAAAATAAATCCTTTGAGAATTACTAGCATAACTAGGCTGAGAAACTGCTCGCAAGTGGTAGAAAAGAATTTTTGAGGAGGAAAAGTCTAGAGGGTTTATGATCTTGAAGGGGGGGGGGAATCAGTCTTCATTAGTTCTTTCAGGAGGACAAAAGTTTTTAAGATAAATAAAGAATGAATGTTTAAACCTAAGGACCTTTTCCAAATATTTTCAGGTACTTGAATGTATAATACTGAGTGAAGAAACTACCACATCCTCCAGTAGAATTTTTGTCAAAATATTCTTTCAGGAACTCAGTGAATATATGGGACTTCCTAATCTAAATGCAAGATTAAAAGATGAGTAAGTTGAAGTTTTGTTTTCAAAACTGTAAATTTAATTAGTTTATCTGAAAAAAATAAAGAACTTCCTTTTCAAGTTCAGCTAAGACTGCAATTCTGTAGTTGCACTACTTCAAGAATAAGTTTACGTATAGATTTAGCCATTGCAAAGAGTCCCATTAATTTGAGCCTGTTGCCATCAACTTGTTTTTAAATATGTGCATGACTATTTGCATGATCTTTTTTTTTTTTTTGCCAATGATACTGAGCTTGTGTAAGAATTTTCCTAGTGCAAGTGTATTTTTCTGTAGTGTCAGTTATAGAGCCGTGTACTGAATGTTATTGTGGCTTCTTTTTCTGATAAAACTTTGAAAAAGGCACATAACTATTAATAACAGGGGTTTTTTAGGATTAGTTGCTTATCCTTAAGTGTAGCTTAAATAACATGTTCTTTTAAGTCTGTATGTGATTTAGTGCACTGCATTCTGGCAGTGTTCCTTTCAGTTGCTTGAGCTATTATGTGTAAACTGAGATTTCTTCCATGTACAATGGAGAATTTCTTAGGTGCTTTAGCTCATGTAAACTTAAACTTAGAATGATACTTCAGGTACCTGGGTCTTTGGAGTTCTTCATGAGGAAGTGATATCCTTTGGTATCGCAGGCTACTGCAACTTCACAAGTCTCTTCAGGGCTTCACAAAATCACGCTTTCTCTTGTCTTGACAGTATGTATGCAATTCTCTGTGTGAGGAAGTTTATGTTTTCATATGAGAGCAAGTTTTTAAATAGTGTTTTGATCAGATGCATCACAGATACAAACAACGTATTGAAAAATGCATGAAAAGATTGCTGTCCTATGGAGCTCCATACAGCTTCTTATTCAGTTTATTAATGTCGGTGAGAATCAGTGCTAAGCTAGTGTGGTGATTTAGATGTTTGTTTCCTTCAGAACATTGCAGCCTTTCTTTGAGGGATTATTGCCTCGGGATAACCCAAGAAATACACGCTTTGCCATCAATTTCTTCACTTCCATTGGCCTTGGAGGACTAACGTGAGGAACACTTTTCTCATTTGATATTTATTTTTCCTTCTTTCCCCTCCCCCCTGCCAAGAAAAAAAAGGAAAAAACACTTTTTTATTGTTAATTAGGGATGAATTACGAGAGCATCTTAAAAATGCACCGAAGATGATTATGACACAAAAACAAGATGTTGAGTCGTCAGATTCCTCTTCGTCTTCAGAGACAGACTCTTCCTCAGATTCGGATTCTGACAGCAGCAGTAGTAGCTCAGAGTCATCCAGCAGCAGTGACTCCTCATCTAGCAGCGACAGCAGCAGTGACTCAGGTACTTAAACCTAGCTAGAACTATCTACTTCTCTATTTACTTCTGTACACATACTTAATTCTGTTTCCGTGTATACTTATTTTGAGGAAAAACTACTTACAGTGTTGGTCTCATCATTTTTAAAAAAAACTTACAAATTTTAAAGTATTAAATATTTTTCATGGGAATTTATTTTAGAATTTAGTAAAACCGGCTTCCATTTTTAGAGACTTAAATATCTGAGGAACATTTGTGGATTACACTTTTACACAGTTGATACCTGTTGTACTATCACTTGAGTTTAGTGGAGGATGGAGTGATTAAGTTTGTGTGGTTTTAAGTTCTGTAAAAAGTTTATGTAGTGAAAGTTCTTGTCTGTAGAGAAGTCGCTAAGAAAATACTAGCTTTTGCTGATGACTTAGTATTTTGTACTTTTATGCATTATAATTAGTGTTTAGCATCTTATACTGTCTTGCTGATGTAGAACATTCTGTTTGACGTCAAGTGTTGTAAACATTGCTGAATCTCTAAAGTAGGTGCTCGTATGAGTTAGTGTGGGCAATTTCCTCCATTGCATTAAAACATGAGCAGATGATAACACAGCATGACTTCATATGGTACAGAAGCTTGCTGATTCAAAGTTAATTTGATATATTACGTGCCTTTGAAGTGAAAATGTTGATTAACAAAATAAAAGCAGTGCGAACTGCTCATGCTTTGGAAATGCATTTTTTCCTCCATTGCAGTCCTACTGTACAAAGTCTGATTTGTGTGTCATCGCATTAATCGCATTAATGACGACAAAGCACTGGAGAAGGGCACAGTTAAACAGGGTCAGAGAAGGCCTTGGTTCAGCAAAGAGACAGATGGCTCCTGCCTAGACAGCTGCAGCTCTGCTGAGCTGCTTGATAGGAACCAGAGAGGCAAGTCCTTAGCGACAAACCAGCTGAGTCTGCAGTCTGCTCTTGTGAACACTTTATTTTCATAAGTTTAAGACCTTCTATTTTACTACTACTCCTTCTTCATTCAGGAACACATTCATTAAAACTTGCATTTTGACATTGTTGCGTCTTAGTTTCCCCTTTTTTTTTGCCTCTTGTGTACTTAAATACAAATACAGTGGTCAGAACACTAATTGGAGAAAATTATATTCTTTACTAGTAAAGAAGCTGTGTTTGCAGCTTCTTAAATCTTCAAAATAACTTGGTAGAGTTGAAAGGCATTGTTTTAGAGGAATGTGCTACAGTATTTCAGTGTTTTAACAGTGCAGTATATAAGAGAAAATAGAAAAATTTCTCATTAGAAATTAAGAAATTGAGCCTAAAGCTACATGTGAGATTACTGGCAGTTAAGCTGTGGAACCTCACCAGCCAGCCCAGCTCAGCCGTGCTCTGGAGAGGTCATTGTAACCAAACAAGGTTCCGCAGAGGACAAAATCTGTTACTAACGCAGCTTGTTCCTTTGTATCTACTTTTTCAGGTCTTTTTTGTGCGTTCTGGTGGATGTAGACTAATAGGGGAAACACTGTTTTAAAAATGTATTCAAAATGTATTCAAATGTATCTGACCTGATCCGTCACCGTGTTTTATCAGAATGCCAGGAAGCCATAGCTCAAACAGGAGACTAGCCAGCTGCTGTAGAATTGATGTATTTGATGTACTATTAAATCGCTTTATGGCTGTGGTATTTTCAAAAGGTGATTAGGAAGAGTTAGCTGATATGATACTGTAGTTCACACCATAATTAATGATTATTCAAAATGGCTGTTACTAATAAATACTGTCCAGTGAAATCTGGAGGTTCCTTATAAGGAGCAAATAGGAAGAGTAACACCTCTTCTACTGAAATGAACACTAGTGTCCACTTAAAAATACAGAAGTTAGTCACACCTTTGCCAATAGTTTAAGATAACTATTTCTCCTGAAAATGAGCCGGAGTGCCATTGTTATGTTGCTGCGGTACCACTGTGCCAAGCCGTTTTCATCCTGCCTCTCTTTGCTCATAGGATAGCGTTGGAGATTTTCCTCCATCTGCTCTTGTTAATCTTTGTTGACTGATAAGCTTTTCCAGGAAGTAAGTGAAAATATAAGTGATATTAGGAGACCGGATGGTCTCAGAAAGGTGATCTTTCTAAAAAAAATTATTTGTGAGAGTGCTTCAATGTATTTACAGCCGTTGCCTGGTGCTTTTGTATCGAGTCAGCAAGAAGATGATGATGGACCAGAGGTTCTCACAAGTCAGGCATCACTTGCAGGTGGCTAAGGGACCAAAGCCCAGCTGCTGGATACTCGTGAGCGGCAGCCACGTCTGTACCAAGTGGAGTTGTTCCCTCTGAAAGCAGTGAACTGGGAAAGGAGGGAGGGAAGCAAGGTTGTTGGCGTTTTGTCAGTACATAGAATTTCAAATCCTTTCAAACATGAAAACACGTCTTGCATAACCAAAAAATTCTTGGATCGGCAGGTTCTGCAGATCTTACGTCAAGATTCCCACTCAGTGAGTTAGTCTATTTTAACACTGATGTGACTGCTGCTTTGCTGCTTTGTAAGTTGAGGAAGAAGTGTCTTTTTTGATTGAGCTGCATCATGTTCCTGACACCTGCATAGACACTGTAAATGGGGTGAAATGCAGAAGGCTATTCCCTAACTTCTTACTTGTATGCTCTTAAGATTTTGTTGGAGTGATGCATTGTGACTTAGTTTTTTGTTAACGTGAGGTTCTTGTGTTAGTAACCATGGAGTTACTGAGAAATATTTAAACTCAGAGGAAGAATGGAGCTTGATAGGGGGCTTGATAGTTGGTTCACACTTTTGTGGAGAATTTATGTAAAATAAAATCCTGTAATATGGACATTTAAAAATAATCAGTCCCTGCTCAGTTAAAGAATAGGTGAATTTTCCTCGGCTGTATGAGAGAGTTGGAGGTGAGAGTGAGCAATAAAATCAAAGCTCATTATTTTGAAACTTCTGTCCAGATACATATCCATAAAAGTTTTCTGACAAGAAGTAACTCTCTAGGACTTTCTATGTAGTTTAATGAGTTAAGATTAGTAAACTAAAATGAAACCTTACTCCTATAATTTGTTATCATTTCAGATGTTCGTAAAGCCAAAAGAAAGAAAATGCAAAAGAAAAATAGAGAATCTGATAAAGTTTCCAGGAAAAAACAAGAAAGGAAAAGGAAATCACTTGAAAAGAAAATTCAAAGGAGGCAGCAAGAGGAAAGAAGTGATACTGAGAGCAAATCAGAAAGAAATCACCGAAACATGAGCGAATCACACCGGAGAGATGATGTATCGAAGTACCATCACAGAGAGGAGTCCAATGGCAGAGACAGTTACCATAGTGGGAAGGATAGAAGCCATGAAAGAAGTAAGGATCTAGAAACTAAACACAGTAATTCAAAACTGAAGAAAGCGGAGAGAAGAGCTTCTTTGTCTGATGATGAAAATTACAGGCACTGGAGCAAAGATAATGGACATCGCAGTAGAAAAAGAGAAAGATCAAAATCCGTGGAGAGAGCCCATAGCAATTCAAGTCCGAGAGAGGAAGAGCAAGATGACCGATACGGAAATGGCTCAGAGAAACACCGAGAGAAGTACAGCCGTCACTCCGACCCGTACAGAGAATCCAGAAAGAACGAGGACAGGCGAAGGGAGAATTCTCCACACAGACGAAAATAATACCTAACCAGAGTTTGAGATAAATATGCATTTCTGAGCTGTTAAAACTGTACTTTAAAATCTGTTGCTGAACTTTGTTTAAAAGAAAGCTTTTGTACAAAGGGGTAGTTTGCATTTGTAAATTTTACCAGACTTTTTCAAATTTTCAGTACCATTTTTTTTATAACTATTGCATTGAGTCTTTCTGTTAAATTCTTCCCTTGGACAGATGAAACTGTATTTTGTGAATAAAACTCTTAAGATCTCAGCAAATGGGTGGATTTTGTACTTTAATTTCAGGTATTTGTAATTGTAACTTTATAATAGTCTAAAAAACATTGGTTTCTAACTGTGTTAGTTGAAAGTCAGTTACTGAGGCTAGGGCAATAAATGTAAAAATTTCAGATTGCAATGTGAATGCTACATGGGAAAGCTAAATTTTCAAACATCAGCACAAGTGCTTCAGGCATTGTATAGCTGTATATTCGTTCAACTTTGCAAACATAAGAGCAACTTTGACCAAAATTTTCAGGAAATACTGCAGTTTGTTTTTTTTTTTTTTCTTCAAGAGTTGAAAATTGGGAAAGCAATGTTGCTGTTTTAAATGTCACATTTGAAAGTGTGTCAACTTGTTCTGTTACTTTTCACAATGTTTTTTAATATTGTAACATCCTGAGCTAGTTACACTTGTTATCATAGAGGTAGGGGGAGAAAAGTTGGTTGGTTTTTTGTCAGCTATGAATTTGATTTTAAAGCCATAGACCTCAGGTCTAACTCTACAAAGGAGGTGTTTAACGAACATCTTTCCCAATATACAAAAATCAAAATAAGAGATGTTCCAAATCCTTTTACATGTTTTGAACTACATGGCTTGAAGTGCTCAAGTATATTGAAAGCAAAGAAAAGTTGGGCTGCTACAGCACTTATAATACCTGGAGTAATTTGAAGCAACTAGTTCAGCTTTCGTTTATGTGAGTAATGAATCAAAATCATCTGGTTAAGAAGGCTCTAAATCTCATTAGTCACTCAGGAAAATTTTTAAAGTCTTTTGGCATGAAATAGGAAACTATGGACATGGTGGGTAGGAAAGACGGGTGAAAGTTGTATGTTACACAATTGTTGATGCCTTAAGACTACTTTGTTTTTTTCCTTGTGAAATGAATGCAAGTGCTGCGCATATGGGAACTCAAGCATTTCATGTGTAAATAGTATTTCATCTTGTATAAAGCATAGAAAATATTTGGGCTGTTTTATAACAGAAAATAGAACAATTCCTAAGGAAATAGATCAGTTTTGCCTAAATCTTTTCACAACATTTTTCTAAGAAAAATGTCACATTTTTAGATATTTTTTTTTTCTGTATTTAACAGAATTTATTTCTGCAAGCTTTCATGTAATAAAACACTTTCAGGCAAAAATATCTGCATGGAAAATAAATTCATATTGCAGAGAAAAAATAAGGTTTCTATCTTGTTAGACCACACAGCTAAAAATTCTTTAGTGGCGTCATGAGCTATGTGTTGTTTAAACCGTGGTGGTTTTTGTCCAACTCGCTTCTCATTTTCAAAATGATTTGTGCATTTTGGCAGTGTGTGTAATTCCAGAACTTAATTTGAAAGAATGCTGTCTAAAACAAATTCTGCTGATAATTATTATGCTTCTTTGATAGCTCTCTGCAAACATTATTGAAAATGATCTGTACTTCATAATGGCTTAATTACGCAAACTTGATTTAGCTAGAGTAATACTTCCCTTACTAGGTTATGGGTTTAGTAGTGTAAATTTTATTAACTCATAACTTTTGAGCTATTCTGTTCCAGTTAAAAAGCTTGTTAATTACATTTTTAATAAACGGAAGCACAATAAAGGGTGAGAACATAAAGCATTTATTCAGAAGTAAAGCTTTTGATCTCACGCCTGCTGATCAGGAAATGCCAGCTCAAACATCTCCGGTTCTTTGTGTTATTTCTTACTAGCTGATAAGGACACTGGGCTCTTTGATGGTGAAAAAAAGGAAGAAGGTGGGATTGAGGCTTGAGCTGGGCTCTTGGCTACATTTAAAATTTCTTGCTGTATTTTTTTCGTTTCTAGAAATGATATGTAATAGACTGACCTATTAAAAACAGCAGTTATTTTTACCATTGCTACGGTGAGCTAGCAGCAGTAGGACCAGGAGCAGTAGCCGCGATCTGTGTGCGGTCAGTGGAGCGTCTGCGCTGTGGTGGACCAAGACCGAGAGTGGCTCCAGCCTGGAGAGGCACAGCTCAGCAGGGCCACGGGCATTCCCTGGTCTTAGCAGACCATGGCCTAATGGCTTGCTGAGCCAGAGGCACTATGTGAATCTTTGAATAAGGCCTCACCTTCTGAATAAAGCCTCATTCTTCTAACTCTTTTATGGGGGGATTCTGCAGCATCCTGTGCAGGAGTATCTCACTGTACAGTATGCGTAACTGTGTTTTGTACAGTCTTTATAACAGTCTTTTATAGCCTCTGCCTGATCTGTTGGAATGAGTTCCGAGGAGGGCCACAGAGATGATCCAGGAGCTGAAAGCATCTCTGCTACGAGGATAGACTAAGGAAACTTGGATTGTTCAGCCTGGAAAAGAAAATACTCTGGGGGACCCTTATAGCTGCCTTCCAGTACCTGACGGGAACCTCCAGGAGAGCTGGCGACAGTTTTGCAAGTGTCCACTGATAGGACAAGGGGAAATGGATTTAAAGTAAAGGAAAACAGATTTAGATTGGATCTTAGAAAAAAATTCTTCAGTACAAGGGTGGCAGGACTCTGGAATAAATTGTTCAGAGAAGTTGTGGCTGCCCCCTCCCTTGAGGTGTTCAGGGTCGGGTTGGATTGAGGCCTTGAGTAGCCTGATCTAGTTGAGAGGTGTCCCTGCCCATGGCAGGGGGGGTGGATTAGATGATCTCTAAGGTCCCTTCCAGCCTAGGCCAGTCTATGATTCGCTGCATTCCGATGTGTTTTCAGAGTAACGGCGTGTAATTATTTCCTTCTTGTGATCTTAAGTGTGCTTTTATAGACTTAAACCTGTCCATTCTTTGCCTTTTTTTTTTCCAGAAGTTAAAATTCACCTGTTAACAAACATGAGCTACTGACCTCTCCCACTGAATTCCCCATCTATGTAGGAACATGGACTGAAGTATTTGTAAGAACCATAATTCTGTTCTGTAACTATAATTTTATTTGGAGCAAGGTCTGTGAAGCTTGGTTTTGCATAGACTTAAGTGTGAAGAATGGTTGGCTTGTTGGGGTTTTTTTGGAGGGAAGAGGGGAAGACACCGTTTAGGTCATCTTGTTATTTAAATCATTGAAATATAACCTTATAGTATGAAAGCAGCTAGATAAATATTGGAACAAAACTGTCCACTCTCTTTGTTAAAAATACTTAAAAATTATCATTAACAGATCGTGCATTCTAGAGCAGTTTTCATTCCTGTTTAAATATGTGAGCTAGGGTGGACACTCCAGTAGTAATTTAAGTGCCTCCCTGTCATTAAATTTGTACAGTTTTATGAATATAAAAAGACTCTAGGTCACCTCCATGCAATGTTCTTAAACTACTTTTAATTATCTTCCACTGTTGAGGAAAGCAGAAGGCTAATTTTCTCAGAGAATCTAAAAAAGCAAAAGTCTATTATTTTGTTAGCAGGGAGAATTGACTCCAGTTATTCTAATAACATTCAGAGAGCAGGGAAACTTGTCCTTCAATTTATTTTCAATTAGATAAGTTAGTGGTTATTTTAAAGCCATTTTCTTTGTCAAAATATTCTTTTAAGAAGTAGTGAAGTCAAAATGCAGAATAAAGGGGTATTTTAATTAAAGCATGTATCAGTAGGTTAAAAGTAGCATGAGCACAATAGTACTTTATATGCTGGAAAAACTTGAGGTCACCAGAGATGTCCTGCTTTTTATATGTTTCCTCAAGCAAGTCTATAATTTGCCTGAGCCTAGTTAGGGATTTTCTTGCTTACTCATGTCTATCGTCAAGCATTTTCTTTTAACTTAAAAAACCAAAGGGAGGCGATGCAACTTAAAACTTTAGTGTTGTTGGGAAAGTGGTTTGTAAACCCATAAAACAACCAACTCTCAAGAAGATTAACTGTCACAGTTTGACTCTCCTTATGGTATGTCCATTTTGAGTTTTTTCCATTATTTTGTAAAATAAAATGGGCACCAAAAGTTTTCCTGAAGGAGAAAATAAGCTGCAACATTTCATAAAAGAAGCTGATGGGGGGAAAAAGCAAGGGCGAGGAAGAGGATGCAAAGCTCCAAGGAACAAGAAAATTTGTTGTTGATGGCAGGGGAGGAGGTGAGGTCACGGCTCTTCTCACGGCAGGGAGCCGCTGACCTGGGCACGTAGGTGCAATGCTAACTGATTTTAGCTTGTTGAATAGTATTGCTCCTCAGTTCCCTAACTGGAATGTGTATTCTTCTTTTAAAGTTGCTGATCCGTTGGGTTTGGGTTTTTTTGGTTTTTTTCCCAGTTGTTTACCTATTGCTTTAGGAGGTACTTCATGCCTCAGTCACAACAGTGTCTGAAGTTTCCAATTCTGGGCTTTTTGTATAGTAAAAAGGAGTGTCACAATTCCTTTGCTACTACCTTACCTAAAATTTGGTTTAACCTAAAGAAAACTTGTACGGTCCCAATGAATAAACCTGCTCCATACTATAAAGACTGTAAATTTTCAGCATCCTTTTCTTTGCCCTGGAGTGATCCTTAAGCTAATTGGAGAGATGTCCATTGATTTAAAAAGGAAAGGAGTGAGGTCTTTCATCTGGTCAGTTATGGATGCTGCTCCTGCTATTGCCTGTGTCTGTGTTGCTCGGTATTCGCACTCTCATTAGGCTTTTCCTCATTTTCTCCTGCTCTAGTTACGGTTTTTCTGGTGGTTTTTTTTTTTTTCTAGCACTTCCGAACATGCAGTGTGAGGCATTTAGAAAAGAATAATGCCAAAAAAGACACATCAAAAATTTACTATATATAACTTGCATAATGCATGAAAAT